CACAGAGGTCAGACTGGGACCACTGGTTACACAGACCCAGACTGAGACCACCGGTTACACAGACCCAGACTGAGACCACTGGTTACACAGACCCAGACTGAGACCACTGGTTACACAGAGGTCAGACTGAGACCACTGGTTACACAGACCCTGACTGGGACCACTGGTTACACAGGGTCAGACATTAATAAAGTTCTTCCCACACCGTGGTTTTCTGAGAGTCTCGTCATGTTTTGATGGTCGTACCTCATTAACTCTGTCAGCCAGGAGCCAACATGTAGAATTACATCATGAAGACTAACAGAAGGTCACTAATGTTCTCCAAAGGTAGGTCAGAGTAAATCAATAAATGGTCTGAGATCAAAGTTAAAGTTAGGATCACTGAACGTCTGTCTGCTCCTGCTAACTGTTTCTCATCATGTGGTCATGTGACTTACAACAGAACTGTTTCTCAGATTTACAAAAATGTAAAAGCACAAACTATAAAAAACAGCTGACATGTRTCCAAACATAATAAAATAAATAAATAAAACAAAACAAGAAGCTCATCTTAACCAAGGAGCTGTAACTGATTGCCCCGTGTCTTTTTAATAAGTTACAGTTCAGTTAAAGGAAGAGCTTCTCTGTAGAGTCTGCCTCTTCTCCTGAGTCCAGTCTTCTGATTGGTTGTTCAGACTGTGGGTGTGGTTCCAGTTAGGGCTGCAGCTAACGATTATTTTAGTAATCAATTAATCTTTTGATTATTCTGACAATTAATCGAGTAATCGGATATAAAAAACTTGTCATGTTCCACAGTAATTATTTAAACTTGATTTATGAGAAAAACAGTTATTTAATATTGTAAAGAGGTAATCTACACCTGCTGATGACCCTGCTGCAGTCAAAGTAAAATTACATCAGCTGTATTAATTAATGCATTTTAAACTCCAGTTGTTTATTTTGATGTACAGCAGGTAAAATAAGTATTGAACACGTCACCATTTTTCTCAGTAAATATATTACTAGAGGTGCTAATGACATGA